CTTCTTGTGTTTAAATTGCTTTTAAAAGGCGATGTTATAATATCTCTTGTCAAGCCTACCCTTTATGATCATCTTGACTTTAAAGAATTAAGTTTATCTCTAATTAGCTTCTCTTAATAATAAAACGTTTGTCATGGATGTGTTTGGAAACCATAAATATATTTTTGTGCAACTAAGGAAGTGGGTTTTAGACCTGAGACCAGAGTGAGGTATTTTCAACTTGCTTTTATAATAAACTGAAGGATCTATGCCTGTTAGATTATAGTTAAACTCTCCAGTGTTTCATTACTACAACTAAAAGCAGCTATGTTGACTCCACTGCAAATTCCACATTTTCAGTTTTCTCAGAACAGTAGTCATAACAGGAGAAAATCCTCAAAGATAAATTTTAATATCTCCTTTTTAAGATCTTATTTATTTATTTGACAGAGAGAGAGCACACAAGTAGGGGGAACAGCAGAGGGAGAAGCAGGCTCCCTGATGAACAGGGAACTTGATGTGGGGCTCGACCCCAGAACCCCAGGATCACAACCTGAGCAGAAAGCAGTCGCTTAACCGACTGAGCCACCCAGGTGCCCCCACAGGTACATTTTTTTAAAAAATTTATTTTATTTTATTTATTTGACAGGGAGAGAGATCACAAGTAGGCAGACAGCCAGGCAGAGGGAGAGAGAGAAGCAGGCTCCCTGCTGAGCACAGAGCCCGATGTGGGGCTCGATCCCAGGACTCTGGGATCATGACCTGAGCTGAAGGCAGATGCTTAACCATCTGAGCCACCCAGGCGTCCCCCCACAGGTACATTTTAAAGAAACAATTACTTTTGGGAAAAACAGTGGAACACGATCAGAAAAATTAAATTCTCAGCTGGCTTTTTTGACTATGTAACTGTGGTGACATCATCCTAAGACTCAATTATGTCATCAGTAAAATGAGGCTAATGATGGCTATCGTTTTTACTTCACAAGACTCTTGAAAGGGAAAAAATTAATAGGTGGCAATTACTTTGAGCTTTCCTAAAGAAAGGCGCTGTATTCCTAATAGCTTTTTAACATCATGTTATAATGCTGCTGACAATCTTTATAAATTATACATCTTATTTAAAATTTGAAGTACTTTGAGGCAATCAACACAAAAGTAGACTTGTATATGATAAAATTATATTTTAAGAATGGATATATTTTAATGTTGCAGGAATATGACTTTAGAATTAGCCTGTCATCTCTTTTTTATATGAAATATAAGGCCTGATTACAGACTTTTTTTGAGCAGATTTGGTCTCTGTCATGGGATTTCTCTTTACCACTAGGTGGCGCAATCTGAGGTCCAAAGCTGTTCGAAGTGCAGCTACACAAGGATGATGGCTGTGTTCTGTATGAGGGCACGTCTGAGGCGGCAGCCAAACAAAAGTCACAAGGTTTGGGTTCTATTCTTGACCCTACTATGTTCCATGGGCAGCATGTGAGAACGGTGAATTTCCTCTGACCTTGCTCCATGCCCCCCTAAGATTGACTCTAACATTGACACCTGCCTCCTCTCAGGAGAGTTTACAAGGATGAATGAGATAATGCTGCTGAAGGCCGGACCTTCTAATGAAAACTGCCAATTATAAGCAAAACATCAGTGGGTGAATATGTAACTAAGGTCTGCCCCTTCCCCTGTGTTAAAATGCTTCTGAGTTGGGTGATATCATTCCCACATGTAAAAGAACATTTTGCTCGAGAAGGGAAAATGATTAAGAGGGAGGAAATCTGGACTTTGAAGGGAAGTGCAAAGACCAAGAGACAACCCCTCTGCACAAGAGAAGGGTAAGAGTGACAAAATATTCTCTTCATTGCAAGAAGGAATCTTGCAAAGGAGTAGAAGTGGATTTTTTCCCAGTTTGTTGAGGACAGGAGGAGCAGATCAGAATTTCCATGACATGAGAGAAATAAAAAAAGATGTAAAAAGTTTAGAGGAGAGATATTTGGAAAGCGAATGTTCTCAGTTTCACATCAAACAGACCTGTTTCTTTTAAAATTTTTTAAAAATTGGAATCAGAACACTTAACATGAGATCTACCCTTTAAACACATTTACAGGTGTATAATATGTTATTGGTGACGACTGGTACTATGTTATACCACAGACCTCTAAAGCTCATTCACCTTGTTTGACTGGAACTTTATGCTCATTGGTTAATAACTGCCCATTTCCTCCACCCGAAGCCATCCGTCCCCTCTTTGATTCTATGAATTTAATTATTTTAGATACCTCATCTAGGTGGAATCATGCAGCATTTATCTTTCTGTGTCTGGGTTCAACCATGTTGTTTCACATTACAGAATGTCCCCCTTTTTTTAAAGTATGTCATTGTATGTATATACTACATTTTCTTTATTCATCTTTCAGTTGCCTTTTAGGTTGTTTCCACATCTTGGCTATTGTGCATAGTGCTACAATGAATATAGTGTGTTAATATCTCTTCAAGATCCTGATTTCAATTTTTTTGGATAAATACCCAGAAGTGGGATTGGTAGATCCTATGGTAATTCTATTTTTAGTTTTTTGATGAACTTTCAAACCGTTTTCCATAGTGGATGTACCATTTTGAATTCCTACCAACAGTGTGCAAGGGTTCTAGTCTCTCCACATCTTCACCAAAACGTGTGTATGTGTCCCCAACATTATGACCTGAGCTGAAACCAAGAGTCGGATGCTTAACTAACTGAGCCACCCAGGTGCCCCTGTTCTGGGAATTTTACAGTTTTGGGTCTTATGTTTACATTTTAATCCATTTGAGTTCATTTTTGTGTATGGTGTAAAGGTCTAATTCTATTCCTTTTGTATGTGGACAACCAGTTTTCCCAGCACCATTTATTGAAAAGACAATCCTTTCCCCATTGCCATGCTCAGTGGTAAAAAATGGAAAACTTTTTCTCTAAGATCAAGAACAAGAAGGATGCTTCCTCTCACTGTTTCTACTCAACATGGTACTAGAAGTCTTAGCTGGAGTAGTTAGTCAAGAAAAAGAAATAAAAGGCATATAAATTGGAAAGAAAAAAAGTAAAATTATTTCTCTTTTACAGATGATACAATCTTATATGTGGGAAACCCCTAAATACTCCACACAAAAAAACCTGTTAGAACTAAGAACTAAAAAACCTGTAAGAACTAAGATTTCAGGAAAGTTGCAGGATACAAAATCAGTGGTGTTTCTATTTACTAACAACACACTATCCAGAAAGGAAATTAAGAAAACAATCCTATTCACAATAGGAGTGAAAAAGGATAAAAATACCGAGGAATAAACTTAAACAAGAAGGTGAAAGACTTGTATCTGAAAACTACAAAACATTGATGAAAGAAATTAAACAAAACACAAACAAATGGAATGACATCCGATGTTCATAGATTGGAAGATTAAATATTGTTAAAATGTCCATGTTACCCAAAGTGATCTACTAACTCAATGCAATCAATCTTCATCAAAACCCCAATGGCATTTTTACAGAAACAGAACACAACCATCTACATTTCTATATTTCAAATATTTCCCATTAAAACACCTAGTATTTTTCTAGCATTGCACATAAACTTGGCTTAGTGAAAAATTATTTTATTTTTCAAACTACTGCTTCATTATTTTAGTTATATTCTGCAAATAGGGAAAGAGAATTTTTTAACCTGTTTAGTTGTGTGGTAAACTCACTACACTGAGACTAGAAGACCTGGATTTCAATTTCAACCACATTATTCATGAAATAATGAGAAATGAAATGAAATAATGAGAGTAATGGTAACAAGAATTGGGAAAATCTTTCATTTGGGTTGTGTTTTTGAATGCATACTTTTTTGATATATACTAGTACTCAATTTTTATCATATTCTTTCTGGGACTCAGTTTTCTTATCTGGAAAATGGGAACAACTCCTACTCTGCTTACTTCACAGGGATACTGTAAGGGTAAAAGACAAAGAATATGTAGGGGCGCCTGGGTGGCTCAGTTGGTTGGGCGACTGCCTTCGGCTCAGGTCATGATCCTGGAGTCCCGGGATCGAGTCCCGCATCGGGCTCCCTGCTCGGCGGGGAGTCTGCTTCTCCCTCTGACCCTCCTCCCTCTCATGCTCTCTGTCTCTCATTCTCTTTCTCTCTCAAATAAATAAAATCTTTAAAAAAAAAATTATTTAAAGACAAAGAATATGTAAAACTGCATTTGGAGTCACAAAGCACTATGTAGAACGATTATTGCCACTCATGTGAAGAGTCAGTTTGGAAATAATAATATTAAGGATTAGGAGAGAAAAGAAGAATGAGACCAACTTAATAGGTCTGTTGTGAGAATCTGGAGGCAGTATACCTGAACCTTATAAATATCTGATACCCATGCATACTTGCCGGGTCTCCCCCAAATGAACGACACTGGGTTAATAACTGTAGACCAGCAGATTAAAGGGATTCTGGCTAAGGAGGCATTTCCCGATCTCATCTTCTACCTGAGTTATCTGAGCTGGTCTCAGGAGATTCCAAGTTGTCTCTGGTATATCAGAGCTGTGAAAGTTCTTAGAGCACATGCTTTTACAGGAAGCTTTATTTTTCTCTTGGGGAAACATTGCTCTGGGAATCAAATGGCCACAACAATATTCTCTGAGACAGCCAAAGACCACTTCCTCCGTGTGCTAAAGTGATTATACAAAGAAACCGGTTTGGGACATCATGTTATGAGGTTGCCCTTACTACACTCCCTTTCTGTTTACCACCTCAAAACATTTTCCCGTGTGGGGCACACACTCCACACACACTGTGTGGTCAGAAAAATCTATAGATGCTTAAGTGCCTAAAAGCACTTACCTCGGTTCACAGTAGCTTTAATCCTGTGCTGAAATAAAATGCTTTTCAATCAGAATCTCTTAGCACCTAATAATGAATACAGCTAAAACCTACCCAGTCAGAGCAGAAAGCCACAGAACTGAGGACAAATCAAAGATTTTCAAAACATCTTGAAAGAGCTAAAAACGCAGTTACCTGGGCAATTATGTCTGTAATTTCTGAATAACTATGGCATCTTCTTACACAAGATCGAGCCAAAAAGTCTTCCACCAGCCGTGTTCCAATGCCATATCCCCTGTGATGAAGGAAAGAGTATGGTCTGAAAATAATATTTGAGTAGTGAATTCTAGCAGTGTTTAAGAATGGAGTCCTCTGTTTAGCACTTTGCATGGATAACAAAGTAAAGCAAATTTGACGAGTCTAATGGCTATTTGGCAGTAGGCTCTTTATTTGTCTTACAGATACAGAAACAGAGAGCATTTATCCGGGAAAATATTAACTAGTTTCCTATGAGCAGAAAAGCCTGAGGAGGTAAGGCTGGCCCAAATTTGACAGTGTATATTAAAGCTAAGGGAGGTTGGTGTTCATAGCCTAATGTATCTTATTGGCAACTAACTTTGTCATCAGTAGCTGTTGATGGAAACAGAATGAGGATCTAGCTAGCTTGTCTACTATAGGTGTGGTACTTCGATGCTCATTCTTCTCTTAGCATAGTTACCATGGTAAAAGTACAGACATGGCCAGGATGGGCTCCAGAAGGAGAGGAAGAAGGGAAAAGAAAAATCAATTTTTGTTGTCAGTGTAGGTTTCTGCAGTTAAAACTCTGAAGTTTAGCGAAAAGAAAAAAAAGTGACATTCAGAAAATTCATTTTTCATTCTAGGGGAACTGAATCTATGGGACTTGGGAGAAAGTATTTGTATTATCCGTTAGCTTCACCCTACCACAAACGGACTGAGTAGTACCTGAAGTACAGTGTTGAAGGCATCTTACTGAGATGTCATAATACAGCCGAGTATGTGGCTGAGATGCTTGAGCAGACGCTTTCGACAAGACAGACCTAAGAACTTTCAATCTAGTTTAGCAAATATGACCTTAGTGGTGGAAATAAAAAGAAAAAATTTAACATAAGCTACATAAAATGATGTATATTCTGGAAATGCTGTATCACATGTTTAAGTATGACCTAAGGTAAAATAGGTTAAGCAGCTCTCACTATTACAGACATTTTATCTTAGGAAGTACTCCTGACTAATGAAGAGGAAATGAAAAAAAAAGTTATATGAACCAAAATAAACAGAGGACAATGAAAAGGAACTTTCTAGTAGGAAAAGAATAAGCTTAGAAAGGGAGGAAACTAGGGTTCACAAAAAACCTTTCAAGCTTTCCTTTATGTTGTCTTTTTTCTGTTTTCCAACTAAAAACACAATGAACCGTTTTTAAAAGCCCTACAATGCTCAACTAGGCTAAATTTCCCTTTCAACCTTTCTAACTAAATCTTCTAATTAGTACAAGCTTTCTAGTCATTGCCCAGTTAGAGAGTCCTTTTCAGGATCCATAATTAAGAGGCTCAAAAAATGTTGACAGATATTTTATTATTGAGCAATAATCTGATGATCATATAATTATTCTGAGAAAATTAAAGGTTGAATTTGTGCAGAGGGACTCTCCATTAATAAAGACAAGGAGAATGAACTATGTTTTAAAAGGAAAGGGTGGGCACTGTGAATTGTGCAAGACTGTTGAATCACAGATCTGTACCTCTGAAACAAATAATACATTATATGTTTAAAAAAAAAAAAAAGAAGATAGCAGGAGGGGAAGAATGAAGGGGGGAAATCGGAGGGGGAGATGAACCATGAGAGACTATGGACTCTGAGAAACAAACTGAGGGTTCTAGAGGGGAGTGGGAGGATGGGTTAGCCTGGTGATGGGTATTAAAGAGGGCACGTTCTGCATGGAGCACTGGGTGTTATACGCGAATAATGAATCATTGAACAGTACATCAAAAACTAATGATGTAATGTATGGTGATGAACATAATATAATAAAAAAAAAGGAAAGGGTGGGTTTCTCCCTTTAATATATTTTTAAGTAAAGCATAGCAATGGTAAAAGCATTCAAACAATAAAAACACTACATAGAAAAAAGTAAATCTCTCTTCTATGGGTAATCCCTTGTCTCCAAGTTCTCTCAGGCAACTGCCATTAGCAATTTTTGGCATATCCCTCCAAAGATGGTCTATACTTACATAAGCATATGTTTATATTAGAAGGAGTTATCTTAGAACAAAAGACTGCTGAAAAGAATCAAATTTGATGATCCATAACATTGTTAAAAAAAACAATGTTTTACCATACTCTTGCTTACAAGTGACTAGCAAAGAAATGATTTTGAACTAAAAAGAATATGTTCCATGCTTGATTTTCATAGAAAAAAGTTTCCTTCCTCTTACTTTATGCTTTACACAACCCAAATGGCCATTGTCAGAAATGATGTTCAGCTTTAAAACGTGATTCACTGAAATCATAGAAGAGCCCGTGAAGTAGGGCAAAGTCATTAGAAGTGGACATAATTCAGAGGATATTAACAATATACATTCCATGAGAATAAAAGACTTCTACTTACATTTTATCTAAATATTTGTTCACATCTTCATCTTTTTCATAATCTTTACACAGTTGGGCAACCAGAGCTCCATAGGTGAGGACAAAGAGATCTTTGTTCTAGAGAAAAAAGGGTTGGTTTTACTTTATAGGCAAAGCTATGGACAATGTGCTACTCTATTTTTTTTTTTAACAAAATGTTCCAATTGCAAGCAGCCTTTGAGATCATCTGCTCATTTTTTCCCACCCTCCTACTAATTATTGCAACAATTTTGACTTCTGAGAACAAGCTGTACCTATATTTGGATCCATCGCTGATAAGAAAAGAGCTGTGAAATGGAATAAATTTCTTTTTTTTTTTTTAATTTTTTATTTATTTGCGAGAGAGAGAATGAGAGACAGAGAGCATGCGAAGGAGGAAGGTCAGAGGGAGAAGCAGACTCCCTGCCGAGCAGGGAGCCCGATGCGGGACTCGATTCCGGGACTCCAGGATCATGACCTGAGCCGAAGGCAGTCGCTTAACCAACTGAGCCACCCAGGCGCCCCTGAAATGGAATAAATTTCTTAACAGGAGAAATCTTTCTATGCATTTGCTAATAGTATATAGCTTGCAAGGTATTATCATGGGGCAAGGTTTTTAAAAAAATAATTGCTAATATAAATTTCCGTTGTTCTAGAATAGCCTTTGGTATCGGCCGACCATGTTTTCAGCTGGAAGGAATAATTGGTTGAGACTTCTCATGAGTTTGCACAATCCCTAATGGGTTCCAGATCTGCCAAGGAGACCATCAGGATGAACCCAACTGTAGCAGCAAATTTGTGAGATGTTGTTTTATTTATACTTAGTGAAAAAAGGAGAATTTGTACTTTCCTTATAGATCTCCAAAATATGGCCTATTTTCAGAGTGAACTGAATATGAAAACTACAACTAAGAATAGTTTAGGTTTGGTTTAGCATAGAGAGGTTGAAAGTATGGGAAACAGAACACACAAATCTCAATCAATCCATTTGACAAAGTCTCTCTGTTTTGCTTCTGCTATTGAATACTATGTAAGAAAGGGATGGAGATACTAGGGATAACTTATTCCAGTGCTCTTATTCCTACAGAGGAGGGAATAAGGCCTAGGAGGAGTGAGTGACTTGGCCAACGAGCCATCAATTGGCAGAGCCAGGGTGGAGCCTGAGACTGCAAGCTCCACTCTGACATAGCAATTACCTTTGAGGTGCACAAAAGAAGGCCTATTTGAAGTAGAGGTGGGTGGGACAGGGAGGCACGAAGGGGAAGCACTGTGGAAAATAATGTTACTTCTTGCATAATCTTGTATTTACATGAAAAGCTAAATGTGGATTCCAGGTTAGAAGAGGTGTTTTTACCTCTAGACCCAGGTATCTTGGGTAGCCTAACATGGAGGGTAACATATGACCTGATAAGATGTATTCTTTTTTTTTTTAAGGCACAGGCAGAAATGGTTAAACAAATCAATAAAATTATTCAACAAAGTAACTTCTGTAAATGTTATATAATTTTGATCAAAATACTTCCTAAATTTACCCACTACCACCAGAGTCCACCTCCCTATACATGGGTTTATACTATGACAAATATGTTTCTTTAAGCAGATAGAATATTTGTTATAACTAAATAAGTTTCAAATGGATAGAATCTAAATAATTATAGTTACAAAATTATGTCCATATGTGGACATAATTTATGTTAGAAATATAAATCAAAATGTCATAAGTGGGTGTAGAACATACATTAGATACACTAATTGACATTACGTTAAGGACTAATCTCTATGAGTCAGGTATAGAAAATAATAAGTATGTTACTATTTCTACTAGAAAACAAATATAAAGCAAGTGATTTTAACAAAAATATTGTTAAATCACTAAAGGGTCACGATATATTCAATTTTAATTCTGTTCTTATTTAACTCAAAAAACCTAATCATACACTATAAGAAATGTCTGTAAATTATACATGAAATATCTTCTCAACATATACGGAGCCACCACAGAAGATAAATTACTGCTATGCGGTAAGAGCACAGCATAAAAATAAGCAACGGTTGAAGGAGAGGGACAGAAAGAATAATGTAGTTATTGCCACTAGCAACAAAAGCAGAATTTGAAAAAGAGATAAAAGGAAATGAAATTATACCCTACTTACATGCCGGAGCATCAGCATTATGCCCATTTATAATACGACCAAACTGAAATCATGGCATTTTCTTCTTCCTCTTTCTCTCTTATTCTGATGGGTGAATACTATCTACAGTTTACTTGTAGCTAAGTGTCAAGTTCAATACCCATGAGGGCCAGTTTTTCCATTCTGTGTCCTCGTAAAAGGCTGTACCTTGAGCTACATGTCCAGTAGGTCTCAAATCCATACACCCGGTCACAGAAAATGTCAACATAAAATTTATCTTCACAGTTTATAAAACAATAAAAACAGTCATTTTCACATATGAAAAACAGAACACCATTAGTTATTTGAGACTTTGGATACATTAGGATAAAAGTGTGTTTTAACTGACACGTAAATGAAGTGATTTAGGTGCACTCTGCAATATCTTTTAGTATTTCAGAACCCCACATAAAATAAATCAAGATCCCAGAATGCCAGAGGGGCCATCTGGAGGCATTCCCAACTGGGGTGTGACAGTTAATCATACAATTCCAAGTTCCCATAACTGAAATTACTTAATTTTCTTCAGTGCTCCTCAGTTTCCTGAAATAATTAAAAGAGCTTTAAACATAACGATAAATTTTCACATCTGTAACTTCTGAGAGGATTAAAGAAGAAGTTTATCCAAAGCTAATATACAAGTAATTAAGTTTTGAAAAATAACTCTGAGCTTGGAATATATAGAAAGGATAATAGCACATACCAAATTATAATAATAGATACTTACATTTAAGACAAGGAAATACATTTCTAAAGGCAATCTTTTAATGCTGAGTTTTTTGCTGATCTGTTCCCATTAATTTAACACATAATCACTATTTTTTATATATTTTATATACATTTCATTTCCTAGTTCACGAAGTATGAAATACAGAGAATTGCTTTATCTTTCTGTATTTTCTGTCAGGCACAAGAGATAAATTTGACACGTTATAGATCTAATTAGTCACAAAAGAAAACCCTAAAATCTGTATAAAGACTCAATTATTCTGTTACAGTGTGTTAGAGAGCATTGTACTATTCCCAGAGGTGTGATTTATGATCCACTCCACTAAACACTTCCTTGCTCCACTGAAAAAAAGTCTATGGGTAGTGTCACCTTTTGAAATAAATCAGAAATCACTCAAGAAAACATTTTCTTTGAAGTAGAAGAAAGGCCTCTTTGAGAATATGTTTATAAAAAGATCTTACGATTTTATGGTATTCTGGTCTTCTGTGTGCAGGGCGAGACATGGTGCTTGAGAGATGAAGAATGCGATCTTTGATTTCTTTTCGTCGGCTTTTACTTTAGAGGTGTATCCATCCCTGTTGTCCTGTTTTTGCACGTTCCTTCTTCCTTGGAGACAAGAGTGCCACTTCTGCACTCTCCTGCTGTTCTTTGCTGAGCTGAAGAGGAAAACAATCATGAGCAGGACGGGCTTATGAGCACGTACCTTGCCACCGATCAAATACTGCTTCACTTGTGAGTACAAGTTGTAACCTAGAGGCATGAAAGCTGATAGTGGTAAGTCTGATCAGAGGCACCAGCTACTGAAAATTCTTTAGCCCAAGGGAGTATAAGAGTGGTGTTTTGCTCTCATGCCAAGGCATTGTTCTAAAAATCACAAACAGAAACCTTCACAATCCAAGATAGATCTAAATGTTAGCATTATTCAGTCTTTGTATTGATTGTTGTGTGAATTTGAGACAGGATCAGCAATCTATAGGTACTACATCTTGGGTTCAAACCTAATGAACAACTCTAATGGGTATCACAGACCCCCATCTTGCATGATTACAGAATTCAAATATATCTGATACTTTTGTTTTCATAAGCAGCAGTTTTAAGGAATGATGGATTTGGGGTGTTGGCATTTTTTCCTTAAAACTGTTGCTCAAAATGGGTGTTCTACAGTTTAGTAATGTATAATGATTCTGGCAGAGAAAGCAAGCCCTTAGCTTTCTTTTGATAGTCCCTGAGATGTTAGCTATTGAAACCTCTATTTATGTAGGAGTATAGACATTTAAAGTTAACACGAGAAACTCCCCCATCTTGACAACTCCATGCAGGGCATGGAGGACCAAAACACTTCCAGAAATAGAAGCCTAAGACTCAATTTAAGAAAGTCACTTCCTACTTCTTACCATATGAGTCAATTAGCCCTGTGTGTTCTAGAAAATTCTTGCTATAAAGTGACAGACTAGGAGAATTTGGAAGTCTCAGGTTGAGCTGCAGTTCTACCATTTACTGGCTGTGTGACTTTGGACAAGCCATTTTATTGTTCTATGGCTCAGTTTCCACATTTGCAAACTGGCAATAATAAAACCCACCTCACAGAATAATTGTGAGTATCAAAGAGGTAATGTGTGCTATAAAACACGTTATAATGCACTATAGAAACACTAATTACTGTAGATTTTTCTCGTAGGTGAGTATATCGAATGGGGTTCTACAACATTTAGGGTATTCCTATTAGTGCCTGTGTTCCATGACTCTATTCCCAGGAAAAGTCAGTTTGGCTGGGGGGTGGTGTGTGTGGGGGGGTGCTTTTCACTGGTAGAGTAACAACACCTTATATTTATGTAAAGTTTACAATTTACAGCACGGTTTTCACTTTATCTCATTTTAATTTGACTACCATCTGTGAAATAGTACTGTAATCATTACCATTTTCTAGGATGAGAATCTAAAAGTCACGTTGAGAAATTTGTTCAAAGTTGCTGGGTAGTTGGCAACAAAGAGGGATTTTGGCTCAAGTTGCTGACCCCAAATCAAACATTTTTTTTCTATTGTACACAATCCATGTTAGAGCAAAATATTTCACAGGTAGACTCCCAATAGCTACTAAGGTATGGTAGAGAGCCCATTGCTGAGCGTAGTGTGGGGGCGATGCTGGGTTCTGAGAAAAACAGAGAAAAGGCCTGTGTGCTTGGTGGGTGGGGAGCGGTGATACTGAAATCAATTTCACTAAACCACAATGGCTGTGCTATGGAGACATCAGGGCCACCATGAGGATTCAGGACATCTCAGGTACCCTAGGAGCCAGATCCTCTGCTGGGCTGACAGCCTCCCCCTCTCTCCTGCCCCTTCGTCCAGGAGCACGGCGCTTAAGGAAGGAGTCCCTGTCTGGCATTCCCTCTCGAGAGCACAGCCAGCACAAACACAGCTGCGGCCAGGGCGCTGGACACTGGTTTGCTGATGTTCAGACTGTGAAACCCACCAGCCTTCAGCAGCTCTTGGGATCCCAGGAAGCCTGCTGTGCCCCAGGATCTGTCTTTTCTCTACTTTCTTCACCTAAAGAGAAGAAAGTGCAGAGGGAGGGTATGTTTCAAACAGGGAGCTGATAGAGAATATCTGTTCTGGCAGCAAACTAGAAAGAGGAATCATTGCAAAATAATGCAGAGGAAAAGTTTTTGCTCTTTTATTAAGAGTTCTTTTGGAAGCCTAGGCCAGAATTCGGAGCCGGCGTTGGGAGAATGATGCGATCCTCAGTGTCATCATAGTGGACTGCAAAGCAACCAGTGCAAGGAGATGATGAACTGGGTCACTCCCTGAGAGTGGTCCCCTGGGAGGTACCTGGGCAGCTGGGTAGAGACCGGGGAGGTGCTAACAGAGGGCAGCACCGATCCGTCAGCGTGTTATCATCATCTGAGATCCCCCACAAACTATCAGGCACGGCCGTCACATCTGCATTGGGAGCTTGTTATCTTTTTGCAACTTCTTTTTCTATTTAAGGCTGCTTTTCGTGTTTATTTTAACCAAACTTCTTTATGTAAAATGAGTGATGATATGCTCAGCAGGCCCCCTCCCCCCAGGACTGCTCTAGCTGTCAGATCTGATCTCCCTGTCGGTGTGTCAGCACGTCCTCAGTGAATGAGCTGCCGGGTCTCCACTGATGGATAGACATTTTATATGTTGGATAGACAGCTGACAGCAAGCTCTCTTTAGCATAAAGACCATTTGGTTACAAAGGCCCAAAGGAAATTGATCAGTCATAGATGTAATCCTTCACAATCACGGACAAGTTACACACAGGTACCCCTGAGGAAGTCATTAGTTCTTTTGACTGTGAACAACAATAAAAACTTAAGAATTTGTTAGCAACAAACTCCTTTACAGCAAGACATTGATGCCTCTACAGTGATTTCTCATCAATGAATGCTCTATCCTTTCCTGCATTCTTCCCTGAAAGAGTGGTCTACATTTTCCTTCTCTGCTTCCTCACTTCCCGTATGTTCCATGAAATGAACTTTTAAAATTGGAAATTACAAACATAAGGAAGATGTGGTTCTTACTACCAAGCTCTACTGAATGAGCTGCTAGATATACTTCAGGCTCTGTTGTAAGCAATGACGCAGTACCGATAGAGTTGAAATAGCCAGCACCCTCCTGAATTCTACTCTGCCCTCCTCAGGGGTCACCGCTACACAGAACTTGGTATTTATCATTCCTATTCATGTTTTTAAATTCTACATATGTTGATAACCACAAAGAATATGTAATATCATTTTGTTTCAAAACTTTACCTAATTTGTCATACTGTGCATATCCTACAGCTTGCATTTTTCCTTCCCAGTTATTGGTTAAGATTTATCTGTATCTACAGCTGTCGCTCTAGCTAGTTTATTTTCACAGCCTCTATAGCTGAGGTCAGCAGACTTCTTCTGTAAAGGGCCAGAGAGTAGATATTTTAAATTTTATGGACATATGGACTCTGTCACAACCCCTCAACTCTGCTATTGTGGTGGGAAAGCAGCCATAGACAATTCAGGAAGAGGTGTGCCTATGTGCCAATAAAATTTTATCTGTAAACATGGAGATTTGAGTTTCATGTAATTTCACGTTATAAAATACTGAACAATTTTTTTTTTCCCAACTGTGTTAAGATGTAAAAACCATTCTTAGCTCACAAGCCATAGAAAACAGGCAGTGGGCCAGTTTAGTCTATGAGCCCTATATGGTTCACCCCTAGTCTATAGCATTCTATTTCTGTGGTTTATTCATCTGTTTCTTTGTTATTGGACGTTACTAATGAAATGGAATGGAAATACTGTGATGGAATACTACATACACCTTAGATAAAGCTTGCTTGTTGTTCACATCCTTTAGATCCTAATGTTAACTTAATCATTTCTGATAAAGATATGGTTAAAATCTCTGATTATGAGAAGTCTCCTTATACCTTGATCAGCTTTTGCTTTATGTATTTTAAAGTTATGCAGTCACAGACATACAAGTTGACAATTGTTTTATCTTCATAATGGATTTTTCCTTTTATTATAATGGAGTGTTCCAAATTAGCCTTTTGACACTTTTTGCCTTTAGTTCAGTTTTGCCTTATTTTAATATTATTATTCCCAGTTAAATATATTCCAATACCTTTATTTTTCAAGCTTTGTGTGTGGTCTAGTTTTAGGTGTGTCCCTTGTAAGCAGTATGACTCTGTTTTTTAATCACCCTGGAGGTAAGTTTACTCCCACTTTGGTATGGTGGTGAAATGTGTGTACCAGACCACCGGCTCCTAACCCTGATTCTTCCATCATCTCTGCATGACCCTGTGCAATTTCCTCAATCTCTTCACGCCTCAGTTTTCTCATCTGTAAACAAGTTGAGGATAATATTAGTACCTCATCATAGTTCTTAGAACAGTGCCTGGCATGTCGTAAGCACACGGTAATTGTTAGGTATTTAAAATTGTGTGTGTGTGATTATTCGTGTGTTTGGTCTCATTTTTACCATTATTTTGTGTTTTCTTTTTACCATCATTTTCCCTTTGCTTACAATCTCTTTTCCAGTTAATATTCCCTTTTTCTTTCCTGCTTTTGAATCATCTATACACCAAATTTTAATTATTTAATAATCATACTTAAAATTTTACTGCTTTAATGAAATATGAATTGATTTACAATTTGATGAGTTTGGGCTTATGTATACACCTCCGAAGCCATCAAATTAATCAATATAATTAACATTTCCGTTACCCCTGTTTTAACTGTGTTATCTTAGATTCTTTGTCTAGTTGGCATCCATTAATTACAGGACCACAATAATAGCCAAAGCAGTTTGTATCTCCCATGTGATCCAGAGCCCATACCTGGAACCACCTTCTTATCTGCTCTCATACATCAAACCAATGTTTCCCCTGCTCTAGATCAACCCAGGACCAGGTACTAGACCAGCAGTGACAATGCTTATGTCCCAAAGCCCACCAGAATTATTTAAACTAGCCAATCGTACGCTGTTTCCCCTGCCTTACCTTGCCTTTACCATGAAAATCCCAATAAAAGCTCTGGCATAGGGTCTCCTGTCTTCCTTTCTGCCTCCTGACCAAACCTGGTGCTTCCCCGTGTGGTCTGGCATGCCCTCTTCTCTTGGTAAATGAAAGTAAGAAATCTCCTCTCAATGGCTTTGACATCTCCATGTCATCACTCAGTCACCTCCATATATTAAAATCCTATGGGTACAAAATGATACAACCCTTGAAAGTCTTCTCATGCCCCTTGGTAATCACTCTCTTCTTATTTCTCCTCCTCCACTCCTTAGGCAAGCACTGGTTTATTTTCTGTCAGTATCAATTAATTTGCATCTTTTAGAATTTTAGATAGAGTCATACATCATGTGCTCCTTTGCTTAAATTCTTTAATTCAGGATATTCTTTTGAATTCATTCTTCTTATAGTATGTATTAATAGTTTATTCCTTTTATCTTGCCGAGTAGTATTCATCATATGGATATACAACAATTTGTTGTATATCTACTCACCTCTTGATGGACATTTGTGTTGTTTCCGGTTTGCAGGTATTACAAAACTACTGTGGATATTCAAGTACAAGTTTTCATGTGGACTTATGCTTTCATTTCTCTTGAGCGAGTAACTAGTAGGTAAATGACTGTATTGTATAATGGGTACATAGTTAACTTTTAAAGAAACTGACAATTTTCCAAAGTGGTTATTCCATTTTATATTCCAACCATCATTGTATAAGAGTTCCAGCTACTCTGGGAGCACCTGGGTGGCTCAGCTGGTTAAGCATCTGACTCTTGCTTTTGGCACAGGTCATGATCTCAGGGTGTTGAGATCAAGCCCCAAGTTGGGCTCCATGCTCAGCATGGAGTCTGCTTGAGATTTTCTCTCTCCTTCCTCCATCCCTCCCTGCCACGCTCTCTCTCTCTCTCTCTCAAATAAATAAAATCTTTTTTAAAAGATTTTATTTATTTATTTGGGAGAGAGAGAGCAACAGAGAGAACACAAGCAGGCAGGGGGGCGGAGGGAGAGGGAGAAGCAGGCTCCATCCCAGGACTCTGAGATCATGACCAGAACCGACGGCAGACACTTAACCGACTGAGTTAGGTGCCCTAAAATAAACAAATAAATCTTAAAAAAAAAAGAGAGAGAGAGAGTTCCAGTTACTCTGCAAGCTTCACCAATATTTGGTATGGTCAGTCTTCTTAATTTTAGCCATTTGCACAGTAATATCTTATTATAACCATGTATTACCTTAGTTCTGTCTCTTAAAGTAAAAAAGTAATTCTACAGCTAATAAGTAAAGAAAATAACTTAAAAATATCATATTTGTATCATTATTATTTTTTGTCTTATATCTTTCCTTAGAGTTCATTTTTCTCCTTGTTGAAATATATCCTTTAATAATGCTCTTTATGAGACCCTGTGAGTGGTAAATTCCCCTAGTCTTTATGTATCTCTTTTTAAAATTAACATATGTATCTTTACTTTGTTCTGCCTTGAGTGATATCCTATCTGGCACTAAGCATTCTGAAGATATTGCCTCTGGTCTCTAGTGTTGCTAATGAGAACTCTCTCCTCCGTCTAAGGTCATTCTTTTGTAGCTTATGTGTCTCTTCTTTCTGGTAGCTTTTAATAACATTTCTTCTTCATGTTTCATACTCTGCAGTTTTACTATGGTGTGTTTATATGTGGATTTATCTTTATTTACACTGCTCAGAACATCTAACACTCTTCTGATGTGAGAACTTTCTTTGATTCTGCCAAATTCTCAGTAACTTCTCTTCAAATATTGTTTCTCTGCCTATCCCTTCTTTTTTTTTTTTTCCTTCTGGAACTCCTATTATGGAGTTGCTTAATCTGTCTTCTATTTCCTTGAATTAGTTTTTAAAATATTTTATACTGTAATACTTATACTGTACTTTGGGTGAATTTCTCAGCATTATGTTTCAATTCACTAATTATGTATTTAACCACACCCAGTTGAGAGTTTGAGAAGAGAAATTTGTATCTTTATGTGCTTTTTTTTTTTTTTTTAAAGATTTTATTTATTTATTTGACAGAGAGAGACACAGCAAGAGAGGGAACACAAGCAGGGGGAGAAGGAGGGGAGAAGCAGGCTTCCCCACGGAGCAGGGAGCCCGATGTGGGGCTCGATCCCAGGACACTGGGATCACGACCCGAGCCGAAGGCAGACGCTTAACGACTGAGCCACCCAGGCGCCCCGAGAAATTTGTATCTTATTCACTTTTTATTAGCCCAACCAAGGTTAGTCCAGTCCCTTTTATATAGAAGTCATATAATAAATATTTTCTGATTAAATATAGAAAACACCTTACATATTTGATCATTTTCTTTTTATAGATATATAATTTTACCAATACCTAAGGATCACATTTTCATGTAACAAAAAGATAGCATATAAACAAATTTGCAACTTAACTTATAAAGCAACACGTTATTATATCACATTCTGTCAATTCAAGTGCATTTTTATGCAAAGTTGGAATGTTTTTGTTGTGATTTGGCTTTAGGGGGTGCCCAAGTCTTGTTCTTCTTTTGGGGAAAGCTTTTGGGATCTTCTGGCAGAACTCTTAGGTTATGGATGTTCCAGACAGCCCTAAAGTTTGGATTGCTCTATTATTTCATAATTTCTGTTATGCCTTATATCATAATTTTATGTACCTAATCCTGGTCTAGCACAGGGTTAAGAATGTTCTCTGTTTTGCTCCCAATGCTCTATTTGCTGGTGTCATGCCACACAAAGCAGCACATGGAAAGATGACAGCAGTTTTGCTTTGCAAGCAGACCATTCTCTTTTCAGTGGGAAGATATGCGGCAGCTGTTTCTCCTGTCACCCGTACCAAGTTCAAAGGAATCTCTCCTCTAGCTTCTTCCAGCTGGAATCTGAAGTGCATTTATTAGCTCAGCGTTCACAAAGTACACAGGGAAAGATGCTAGAATCCTTTAAACATATGAGGATGTTGGATCGCTTGACCCAGCCAGTTAAACCAGTAAGGTCCCATAAAATGGTTACAGCTGGTGGAGTCTAATGATCAGAAAGGGCCATTTGTGTCAGAGCTTCCCAATGATGAGCCCGACTCTCAACAACATCATATCTTCCCTGCAGAGAAGTGGAACATTTATCAATTTTTTAATTGCTGCTTTGACCACTGGTGGGCAACAGCTTTGCTCTTCTTTCACATTCAGATGTCCCTGTCAGGCTGGAAAAAATTTCTGCTACGGGTCTGCTTTTCTAGTCATTCCAGCCTTGATCCTTCTGGTTGCTGGCTATGCTCTGAGAAGCCAGATGTGGACCATGAGCAGTGAATACTGCTGCAGCTGTGGCCCTCCACAGCGGAGAATCAGCCCCCTGGAGCGCAAGCTCGCTTGTCTTCGGTTCTTCAGCATCACCGGGAGGGCACTCATTGCCCCATTAACATGGCTGGCCGTAACCCTGCTGACAGGTACCTACTATGAATGTGCGGCAAGTGAATTCGCATCTGTGGACCATTACCCAGTGTTTGACAACATCAGCGCCAGCAAACGGAAAGAGGTCCTAGCTGGGTTTCCATGTGGCAAATCGGTTCCATCCGACATGATCCTGGTAAGAGATGAAGTAGGTCTTCTGCACAGATACCAGTCACAAGTAAGTTCCTGATTTTTTTTTCTTGCTATGCTATCCCATCTTAATGGCAGCCATTGGAAACATTTCACATTCCTACTGCTTCTCATATTATCTGAATATAGAACACAAACTTGATGCCATTCATCAGAGTGATTTCCACTGAGCGGCTATATAGATACGGTTAGGATGTTGGGCTTCGGAGTCAGCAGACCTGTGTTTGAATCTTGCTTTGCCATGTATTAACCTGCAAAACCTTGAGCAAGTTATAGAACTTATCCATGCTTCACTTTTCTCCACCATAAAATGGAGATATTAATAGGATCTACCACATAAGTTTGGGGTGAGTAATAAATGAGCTAATACATCAAAGAGCTCAGCATCATGTCCACAATCCATATTAAAAACAATAAATTTTAGATATTGTTATTAAAATTATTATTGCCACATAGGGTATTACTTCATTCCATCTTGCATATTCTGAAATATTCATTCTTGTGTATTAAAAGTTTATCTAAAATTAGAGGAAGCTTAATTATGATTAAAGTAAATTCCAGGGATGGCTCTAAATTTAATATCCTTAGACTAGTTTATGTGAGGGGGTGAGATGAGGCAGGGAAAAGGCCTGTATCTACTGCACTTCCAGGTTAAATTTAAGAAGTGTAAAAGTGCATTTTGTCAATACAGAAAGAGTCATTGACATTCATCACTTTCTCCGAAGGATTTGGGGTAAAAAGCACAGTTGCAAACCACTGCAATACAATAAAAATACATTATTTTAAAAACTATTTATTGCAAAGGCATGCACATTTTTTTTGACCCATCACTTTTTAGCTTTTAAAATTTAGAAGTGCTAGTGCTACTTTGTTGGAAAAAAAATTACTATCAACACACAGAATACTCAAGTGTTGCATATGGCCCGATTTAAGCAAAGTTAGAAATCCCATTAAGGTAGGCTCTGTCTCAACCTTTTACACTAGCCCTAAAGCTCAGGCAGAGGAGTTATGTGAAGATAGGTGAAAAATAATCAATGGGGCAATTTTAACTTTCAAATGTTCTTGCTCAAAAAAACCTAAGATGATATACACACTGGTAAGATTTTCTTAAAGTGAAAATAAAATGTCTTATTTAATGCATACACAGACTTCTGTGAAAAGACAGTTTTATGGTTCAGAGTGCCATCAGCCAGTGGATGTTTTTGGATCAGCGACCACAAAACTAATATTTATTAAGATGTTTATCAGGGGCGCCTGGGTGGCTCAGTCGTTAAGCGTCTGCCTTCGGCTCAGGTCATGATCCCAGGGTCCTGGGATCGAGCACCACATTGGGCTCCCTGCTCAGCGGGAAGCCTGCTTCTCTCTCTCCCACTCCCCCTGCTTGTGTTCCCTCTCTCACTGTGTCTCTGTCAAATAAATAAATAAAATCTTAAAAAAATATGTTTATCACTTACTGTATAAATATTTCACATTTAATTCTAATCCTCAGACTCTTTAGGAGAGAAGTATAATCAACCCCATTTTACAGATGAGGAAACCAAAGCTCAAAGAGTTTATGTAACTCTTATAAGTTCACAGAGGTAATAAATGGCTGATTGAGATATTCAAAAGTCATACTCTTTCCATTTCACCAGGTTGCCTTTCACAACCACCTTGAACTTCAATCTCATTTGAGGAATATACACTGTCTTTCTGTTTGATTTTTCTGAGTTGTCCACAAGATCATATTAAGTTCAAACCCTTTCTCCGCCCATACCTCATTCTAAAATAGCTTCCTGACATTAGTTTTATCCAATTTCAATCAACCTTCCACAGCCATGCCAAAATTATCTTTCTAAATGCAAACTGAATGATGAGCACCCTCCCCCCGCCATTCCCATATAAAGTTCTTTGATGATTTTCTACCAGCCCAATCCCAAATCCAAATTCTTCTCACGGCTTACAAGGTCCTTCAGTGTCCGGCTCCTGACCACTTTTCTACATGACTCCTATGGCCCTGTGAGTACAAGCTTCTTGAGGTCCTCCCAAATCTTCATGCTCTTTTCTTCTTCTCTTATCGGAACTCTCCTCAGTTTCTTGCATCTGGCGAACTACTCCTTAATATTTAACTGAAGATCATCTCCTCTGGGAAGTACTCCCTGATATGCCTCTTTCTTAAGTGAGTTCGTTTCTCTCCTGTTGTGCTTACTGATATAAAAAAACTATCACATTTTACCATATTTCTTGGCTTGCTATTTTGTTTCCCTCTTTAGGCTTAAAGACTGTGGAAAGAGTGAATGTATCTTAAATTATTCCCATCTAAGTCTCCATAACCAACCACCATGTATAGAACATGGCAGGAGGTCAAATGGGGACTCAGTAAATGATGGCTGATGAATTAATAGACATCCCAGATGGCCTTTCCTCCACTGTGCTTGCCTCTCTTAAATTAAATTGCTGTGTCACTTTGTAGGTTTCAGCCTCCACTGAGTGCATCTGTCCTGTTGTGCTCACACCGGTAATTCCAGGCCTGCTGGTGAATCACAAGCTGTGGGAGAGACCTTCACCTCCCAGACTGTGGCTGCTGACGGCTGGTTTCCTTATATGTGTGGAAGTTGCCTCTCTCACTTTACATAATAATCACTCACTATTGAAAAAAGAATATTTAAAAGAAGAATAGTTCTAAGACTAGAAAACAGTCATTTATGTCAGTCTTTTAAAGAGGGAACTAAATAATCGCAAGTAAAATATAGCTAATTTCCCTTTCAAAGCATATTTCAAAAATGAATCCTAAAACTGGTAGCAAATAACTATTTGAGGGAAGAGGGAAATGAAAAGGAAAATAATAAGGTGCTTTCCATTTAGGGACATAAGGGTCTTCTTTGGTCACAAAAAATAAAAGGAAAGCAACTCAGAAAGAAATATCAATGAATATCTGTTAGCACATTATTAAGAAGGCACTTAAGAAGCTACCATTATCTATCACATCATCATTTTCATCACCATGATTATCAAATAGTTATTAAGCACCCAAAAGATACTTGACCTGTACCTAATGGTTGGGGAGGAAAGTTGAGCTAAAACCAAAGAATATAGTTTAGGTACCCTACACAAGAGTAACTGGTGGGTTGTAGCATCTGCCACTTCAAGGACAGTACTTGGAATCCATTCCAAGTTAACTGGTTAATATCCTTTGTAGCCCCCAAACCAAATTGAAATGGTTGGGCTTATTCTCTCCATCATGCCTATATCCATATCAAGTGATCAGCACCTTGCTATTATTTCGAAGACTAGAAAAACACATTTCTTTTTTTAAAAGATTTTATTTATTTATTTGATATAGAGAGAGAGGACAAGCAGGGGAAGCTGCAGGCAGAGGGAGGAGACGCAGGCTCCCTGCTGAGGAGAGAGCCCAGCGTGGGGCTTGATCCCAGGACCCCGGGATCATGACCTGAGCCAAAGGCAGACGCTTAACGAACTGAACCACCCAGTCTCCCCAGAGAAACAAATTTCTTACCCACAGTTTACTTTTTTTTTTCCAGTTTACTTCTCAGTTTCATAGGAATCCCTCTTACTGTGTCTGTTCCTTTGATATTCACTATATTGATGTTTTCTGCTTTTCTTTTAAATAATTTTGTCAAGATGCTGGGCTGGATTTTGATCACCTTGGCAACCATCGCTGCCCTGGTCTCCCGCTGCGTGGCGAGGTGCTGCTCTCCCCTCACCTCTCTGCAGCAGTGCTACTGGACCAACCACCTCCACAACGAGAGGGAGCTCTTTGAACAAGCTGCCGAGCAGCATTCACGGCTCCTCATCATGCAGCGCATAAAGAAACTCTTTGGCTTCATTCCTGGAAAGGAAGATGTCAGACACATCCGTATTCCTTCGTGTCAGGACTGGAGAGATATTTCAGCACCCAATCTTCTCTGCATGGGTGAGGACTTGCAAGGTCACTATAGCTTCCTTAGAGACAGGGTGGGTGAGAATAATGAGGAAAGCAAATCCGAAGGTATTGAATTAAAACCTTGATTGTAGTAGCTCTCACAGTTCAGGTTGCCTAACAGATACTTTATTTTTATGATGATGGAGTTTCAATGTAATCTCTTCACCTTTTTCTGTCTCTTCTGATATTTGTTTAAACAAGTCCGTTCAAGATGCCATTTCCAAAAGCGGTTTATCTGATCATTGTGCCAATCTCTGTTTTTGAAATTTCCTTGGTGGTCAGGTAATGCCTATATTGGTTTAATTAAAACAATATGGACTTTGAAGTCCTATCAGAATGGGAATCTTGGTTCTGCTACTCAGTTATCTGTGTGAAAACTAATATTTTTGAGTGCTATCTTGTTATCTGCACATAATGGTTACTTCATAGAGCTGTTGTGAGGATTAAAGGTGATAATATAAGCAAAGTGCTCAGCACAGTGCCTTTCCTAAAATACGTGCCAACACACATTACTCTCTCCCTTTCTTTGTGTTCCATGTCTCCCATCACTATTCCCCCGTCTCTAATTCCTGGTTTTCTTTATTTCTACCTCTTTATAATATCCGGGAACTTTTCACTTGCTTCTGTCCCTTCTTTTGATCTTAAATATCTGACCTTTCGGGGACTAAAATAAAAAGCCCTTTCTAAACTGGTTAACGTGTAAGGGAGAAGCCCATGCAAGGTCTTGAGTCATTCTGCCATAACCAGGGGATGATGCATTATTCTACCATCATTAGTACCATAAATGTTATTTGTAGCCCCTCCACACTAGGAGCATTTTTATAGCCACAACATATAAAGTTTATCCTAGAAAGTTTATTCCCTTCTGTGCTCTACTACAGAGACACTGTGCCTTTTCATGATCAGTTTGCACCCTTGCACTCAAAATCCATTGGGGGAACGAAGACTGACATCTGCATTTGTATACCCATTACCTAAACCTCCAAAAGGGGAGACCTGCCGGACTCTTCTCTGTGACTTTACACCTCTAATATTTGAGTTTTCTAATTTATCTGATTATTTCTGATATATGTAGTGTCTTGTGCCTGATGTCACATTCACTTAAGCAACTGGTTCATTGGCCCAAATCAGCAAAATGAGGGATTTTGCTTATTTTTTAAACCAAAACCATGGCTGCTTCCTGGGTAATGGACCAACTGCCAATCGTCATGCTGACCTTCAAGATTCACTTTCAAGGAGACCAGAGAACTTGAGTAACTAAAATGCAGTCAATTACTTACTAATCTACTTTTACACAATTGTGAAGAAAGAGTCTATTCTGTGTGAAATTATGGGTTCCACAAACTTAATGGAAACAAATAGAAAATGAATTGAAGATCATTAAAAAAAAATCTGTAAGAGATGCATAGTGTAGTACTTTGCTCCAACAGGAGACCTGTCTCTCCCTCGCCATTACTTAGTGGGTAGGTCAGTTAGTCTCTCTGAGACTCAACTGTTTCATCTGTAAGATGTAGATAATGATACCTTACCTGTTGTAGGGCAAGGAACTGATGCAAATGTATTCTTGAGGTTCCCTTTAAATCTGATAAGATTTTGATGTTCATGTTCAAATGTATACAGGTCTATATGTATACAATTTTCTGGAATAGTAGTAGGCCCAGGTTGTCTCCATTAGAAGGAAAAGATCACTGAGTTCAATTCTTATTCTAAAGACATTTGCTGGCATTCCACTTTCAAAAGAATGTTAATGTACTGAACTTTTTTAAGTGGCCAAGGAAAGCTATTCCATTTTGTCACCTGTATCCATACACAAGACTGACATATTACAAGAGGGATCTTTAAAAAAAAAACAAGTTGTGGAAGGTAACTAGGGTCCTCATTTGGTTCTGATGTAAATGAGCTATGTAAATATGGAAGGTTATGTCCACTTTGTTTTCCACAGTCTCCTCCAGCACTAAAATTCTATCACTCTGTTTATCTGGGAATTTTTGAAACTCCACTGTATTGGGACAGAATAGTTTAATCAACACTTTACACCATGCTCAGAATTATTTTATTAGTTTTTGGGGATTATACCACAGTAAATACTCTCCAATAAGATTTTCAGTTAACAGAAGGATCAGAGAGTATATAAACTTAAAGCATTACATCATCAGAAAGAAGATAATAGTTGTTTATATACACTAACACCAGAAAACTTTCTTTTTACTAGATTCTGGAAGCCCTTTCTACATCAAACTCCTTCAGAGTATGACATACACAGTTTATATTCTAAATCACATAATCATGATCTTCCACTAGAGCTTTCTAGCAAAGGATTAAAGTGTTCTTTGTCTTCTCTACATAGCTTCAAAGGGCTTTATAGCAACTGTGTGAACATTTGAAGGGTAGTTCACATCCCTGATATTTCACTGTATACTATCCATTTCCAATTAAATAAATCAAATTCCCATTTGTGTGTCTGTGTGTGTATGTGTGTTTGTGTGTACGTGTGTTTGCCCAGAATATTTTGTTCCACAGCCAGTTAGACAAGACTTTTCCATCAGGAATACTGTACTTCCCCCCTTTATGCTAATGGATTTATGTAATTTTAAGACACATAATTAAAATAAATGATATGTTAATACTACCTTATATTTTGTTACCAAATGCTTTTGGCTACCACATCAAATGCTGTGGCTTGACATATATATAGACTTGCTCATTTCTTTACTTCGACTTTGTCAGCTCCCCCATCCCTCCACCACAATCTAAGCTGCCTCCTTTCTAGAAGACAAATACAATCTCAACGTTTAGATGTGTTTTACTCAGCTTTCTTTATGTTTCCAAAAGCTGAATCGCAGAATCATACTTACATTTATCTTCTTTGTCTCCTTTCTCTGTTCTCAATCTCCAATTCCATTAAAAAAATTCAAATGCAGGATTGTAATAAGAAACAACAAGGTGAATTTCCAAAGTGCTTTTTGCATTTTGTTTAGCAAAAATGAAAATCACATTAACCTTAAAACTTTGAAATATCACAGTCAACCAAAGGTCTTCCAAATGCAAGACTAGGTAGTTATTTGCTACCTCAAAATATTAAGTGTAGCATTATAATGTTAGCTTCTAAATAAATCTACCAAAATTTAGCCCTGGTCACTAAAGAACAGATAACGGCAGGCTGTCCTCAGCTCCATAGCTACACAACGAGCCCCTTTACCTGTGGGGCGCACATCTATAAATGGGACTAGTGGACCAAAGAGCAATGAATGGTGTTTCCAGAAAGGCAAACTATATCATTCCTGAACTGAATTATTTTTCTGAACTAACCACCAGGTACAATTAAACTTCTTCAATCTCAGTACACCAGAACCTTTGACAGAAATGGATTTCAAGTGTTGTTTCCTCTGCTGTCTCCCAGTGGCCAAAATAAGTATCTGCACCCATCTGTAGTAGTGGTTAATAGTAAAAATAGTATGTGCCAGCTACTTTAAACAAATTTATCCCATTTACTCTTTGCAACAAACTGGTAAACAGAATCATATATTCTGATAGGACTTGCTGAAATGGCATAAATAACAGAGAGAATGTGAAGCAATTTTGTGTATGTAAAGTTCTACACATATGAAATGTTTGGTGAACCCTGGAACCATTCATAATTAGAATCCAAACCTATCTTACCTCAATAAAATAAGTTCCCCCATTTTACTGATGAAGCAACTGAGATACAGAGAAGTCCAGCAATTTGCCATAGGACACAGATTGTAGTGATAGAGCCCGAATCTGGCCCGAGTAGTGTGACTTCTGATCCTGCACTCAATAGCACTGTGCTGGAATATAGCAATAGCGGACAGCTTATCAACCTTCCAAGGCCTTGCAGGTGTCAGGAGGATTCTCCTCCTCCGTCTGACACTGAATAACTAAAACACCCTGAGCTCCGACAACCAGGTGCTCTATCACATCCTAGTCCCTCTCTTTCCACCCCCACTGTCCCTGCAGATAGAAGGGCTCAGCTTCAGGGCACTGTGCTTCTTAAGAAAGTGAGATGTGCGCTCTCACTGGGGCATCACTCTGGATCTGAGCTGCCCTACAGCCAGTGGCACTGATTCTGTTAGCCGCAGACTCACTGCAAGCTTCCCAGGAGGCTCAGGGATTCTTTCTATGCCGGGAATAGGCAGGACACTGCTATAATCTGCCGATTCGTTTTCAGTAGGCGATAGTTATGAAGGGTCAAAAATGGGGGTCAGGGAAACATCTCTCATCATCCATATGGTTTTGTATAAGTCAATCTCTCTGGGACTTTAATGTTCCCTTTCATGAGATAGGAGAAGGTGCCAAATTGTGGAAGTGATTAAACTATATCAAGTCACAGATCTCTTTGAAGTCACAGATCTCTCTGAAAAGCCATTATGGGGAGAGCTATTTTGAAGAAATACCTAGAAAAACTGCATGCACACGGAGATATGCTCATATGCCTCAGAGTTTACACACTGTGGTAGACTAAAATAGGGGCCTCCCCAAAGATGTTGATGTTGTAATCCTGGAATTTGTAGACCATACTCTATGCTTTACATAGCAAAAGAGACATTGCAGATGTGATCAGAGTAAGGATTTTGAAATGGGGATATTATCCCAGATTATCCTGGGGGGGGCAATGTAATCATAAGGTTCCTTATAAGAGGGGCATAGGAAGAATCACAGTCAGAGAGAAGGCAAAGTGGGAACCCAAAAGGAGTGTCAAGGAGCATCAGAGTGACACCTGAGAAATTAGCCACTGGTGGCTTTGTCATAAGCCAAGGGAAGGCAGACAGCCTCTAGAGGTTGCAAAACACAAGTAAATGGATTTTTCCCCTACAGCCTCCGGAAGGAACACAGCCCTGATAATACCTTGACTTTAGCCTAGTGAGACCTGTGTAACTGGCGTCAGAACAGTCAGAAATATATACTGTTCTTATAGTTACCAAACTATAATAAATTTGCACTGTGTAAAGTCACTAAGCTTGTGGTTATTTGTTTCAGGGGCAGTATGAAACTAATATACAAACCAACACATTTCAGGAAATTTATGAACCCACAAGCTGGTCATGAATGACATGTCCTGGGTTAGGACCTCTTCAAGGTAATTTCTAGCACTAGCATCCTATGATTCTATATGCACTGATGCTCTGCCCTAGGCAAAACGTGCTCTTAGTAAATAATCTATAATAGAGTATTTTATAAATATATATAATATAATGCGTTCTAATTGAAGGTATTCTAAAGTACAGAAAGAACAGCTGGATATGTATTTTTTAGGTATTGATAGATGTTTCAGTCTAAACTACAAATAAAAACCATTTCAACATATTTTTCTTCTCTAGTTGCTACCGAGTGACATCAACAGAACTATATACTGTAAATTGTTTCATAACGTGGACATAACCAGCATTGGAAATATGAGAAAACAAATGCTAAAAGGGAAAAAATAAAGCTAATTTGGACCTATGTAGTGCTTTTTGATTATATAAATCTTATAGATCAAGAAAAATCAGCTTATTAGTTTATGCTTACCATTCTTTCACTTTGAGGTAGCTTGACTTTGAGAAAGCTGCCTACAAAATAAGCATCTTTACTCCAATAATGATTTTATAGATCCTATGAGGTCCTATCAGACCAGAGAAAGGTCTGTATTTTGTGCAGATGATAAAGCGAAAGACAAAACCATCCAAGTGGCAGAGCGAGAATAGTAAAATTCGGTATGCAGTTCACTACTACCTGCCATCAGGGTGCCGGGCACTTTGAGCTCCTTCTCGGAAATTTTCTGGAACCCACTCGCGTGGGGCTCTCGGAGCCGGACCTCACCGCATGGACCCAGGTCTTTCCTTCCTGGAGCGTGGCGAGCCCGGGGTATTCCCCCACTAATGTCTACAGCACCCAAAGTGGGGTGGTGGCGGGTCCCTCAGTGTGCTGCACCTCTGGCACCCAGGGTGGGCACCAGCGCACTATCTCCGGTCAGGTAGACCACTGGGGTGCCGCGTCAAGTCCTCTGTGGCTTACAACTGGTCCTTCAGATCCCTGTCCTCCCCAGCCCCTGATCACATGGTGACTTCGCGCTCTCCCGGACCAGTCAAGCGCATTCCTCTCTGGCGAATGCAACTGCTGGACTGGATTCACCCACCTGGAAGGTAGGGTGCCGCTGACACTGAAAGAGATCCCATTTTAGGGATGCGGTGATCCTGGCCTGAAGAAATCAAAACATGGTTGGACGGTATGTAGTAAGTTTAGCGTGACTAGAAAACAAATGATCACTCACATTTTCCGGCATACTTTGGTTAAGACTTGCATTTGTGGACATCAACAAGAGAGCACATTCTTTGAGAAAATCACTGGAAGCCAGGATTCGGGAGCCCATGATGGATGATGGAACTTAATGAAAATGATATGACCAACATTACCTTAATGGCATTAGGATACAGCAGAAGCAAGAACTGTATTGTTTCAGTAGAAGTTACAAAGAGTCATGGCATTCTGAGTAGTAACAGCACTGCTACTTTTTTTTTTTCCATGGTGGGAGATAGGCAGCTAGACAGGAACAGTGCATTTAATGATAAAGAACATGAAGAGATGGTGCATGGACACTACAGAGAATCTTCATGCTCACTGATTAAATAAACAAATGCATACGTGTCTCTATTTTAAATCTTCATCAGTAAATCATCATATCTTACTTGGCCCATGAATTTTTAAAATACATCTTTTAATAAAATTGCTTATATAGACAGGCACCCCACAAAACATGTTTGCCCAGGAAGCTACACACCATTAGGGGCATCCCTGACTCAACGCTTCACTATATTTTCTCACAAGAAGCCAAAAAATGATTTGACTTAAGTGTTATTTAACTCTCAAGTTCATTTTCCTTCTACATTTTAAGTAATCTATATTGTATTTCACTAGCCCTATCTTCCTCTGTATTTCTGCTCCTTTATTTTCTCTCCTCCTTCTCTATCTAGTACCTTCCAAATCCAAAGCAAAGGTGTGTGTGCGTGTGTGTGTGTGTGAGAGAGAGAGAGAGAAGGGGGGAGAGTAATATTAATAAATAACTCTAGTACAATTTTAACATGCCATGAGAAAAATAAAATTAGGTAAAGAGGATAGGGCATACTGAGAAGAGTAGTTGTAATTTTAAGCAGGGTAATCGGGGTAGCCTCATTGAGAAAGTTACATTTGAGGAAAGACCTGAAGGAGGTGAGTGAGTGAGCCATGTAGGTATGGGAGGAAAAGCATGCCAAGTAGAGGGAAAGCAAGCGCAAAGACTTCAGGAAGAGTACCTGCATCGCATGTTGGAGGAACTGTGTTATTGTGACAGGAGCAGAGAATAGGTGGCAGAGCAGTAGGAGATAAGGTCAGAGAAGTAACAAGATGTGCAGGTGAGGGTTGGGGAGCCAGATGGGCCTTTAATTTGAGGGGGGCGGTTGGTTATAAGTAGAGTGGCATGACCTGATTTATCTTGTAGCAGAATCACTCTGACTGCTATGTTGAGTCAGAGCAGATTGTAAATGAGGGCGGAAGCAGGGAGGTCAGTTAGGCTAGAAGTGATACTGAGATCACTACCCTTCAAGGGAACTCTTCAGAGTATACAAAATTAGAATTTCATATGGCTATTTGTATTTGTGACTAGCGATGAGTTTTGGGACACCTGATTAAATGAAACATTAGCCACATGAACTAAGAGAATTAAGATTAACCTTTAAATAGGGAATCTGAAATTCTGTGCATCTGAGAGTAGTGAGATTGCTTAGAAAATTCATAGGCACAGACAAGTAAAAATAAACACCAAAACAGTTTTTAAAACCTGATATTAGGAAATAGCAACTGGGAGTTTGCATTACTTGCAAAGAAACTTAGACGAAAACAAACGAGTAAGACAAATATCTTAGCGACATTATTCTTTAGTAATGAAGATGAACGGAGAACAGTAACAGAGAGCAGAAGTGCTTCAGAAGATATTATATACATTCAAAATTATGAATAACACTAATATCCTACTTTTGAATTTGCAATGTGCTTTTATATACATTATTTCATGTTCTCTGAATGATCTTATAAGCTTATTTAGCTTATAAATAGCTAAAGCTGGGCTTCTCACATCTGGCCTCAGATCCTGTGATGTTCTCCCTACACCATTTGCCTACCTGCAGAGCTTGAAACACTCCGGTCCTCTAACATCTTTATAAATTAAAAACAAAACACTAAAATAAAGCCAATTTGCCTCATAACAATTCCCCCCTTTCAGAAAGGGAGTAAAGGGCCTTCCTGTGTCTGTGAAGTGTCTTTGTTATTGTCAAAATGAAATTAGAGATCAACCAAAAAATTCTTAATGATGTCCCTGTAGACGTGACGAAGATGTGGGGGTGTTCTCTTGATTACATTAGCACTGGAACTCTCTTAGGGAGGTATCTGCAGTATTAAGAAACAGAACAAAACCACCACATGAGCATTCTGAAATATGAAGGCTTTATAGTAAATATATGTAACAGGCTTGAAAAGGTTATTTTACCAAAAATTCTGTTAATAGTAAAACAAATAAAGGAGTACTTCATTTATTAAATTAAAATTTGCAACCAACATTAATCTTTTTCTAAATATAAACCTTACATTTGTTGTTTTGCTGCATCTCATCTATTTTGATAGGTTGTTTTTATTACTAGTTAGGAAAAGTTTAAAAATTTTACCTTCTTCTTTGATCCATTATTTAAAGGTGTTATCAACTTCTGTGCCAAACTCATTCCGTCTTCATTACTTGTCATTTTGGTTACTAGAACTTCATCTTTCCTATTGTTCTAGCCAAAAACCATTTTTGACTTCTCTTTCTTACAACCCACATCAAATCCTGATCCTACAGGATCTGGAAATTCCTTCTCATCCCCCAGTTCACTGTGCATTAGCCATACTGGCTTCCAAAATACCAAGTGGACTCTCACCTTAGGACCTTCGCACTGACTCTTCTGTCCAGCTCGTCCCCCCAACAAATCATTGCTTTCTGTGAACTCAGGATATCCAGAAAAATAAGCACCTTATATTTGCAAAGTTACTTCATGTATTTTATTTGATTCTCACCTCTGTCAGCAGAGTTCCCAATTTTTCCCTCAAAGTTTAATAAAAGAATGACCCAAACCAACCCTTAAGACCCAGAATCAGTACCAAAGTGTACCTAAATACGTTTGTTTTAACTATTCCTCTGCTATAAGTAGTACTTCCCAATAGAAGATCAAGATGCTTTCTGGTCCATAGTACATCATCATTTGAACAAGAGAAAACTTCAGGGGCACCTGGGTGGCTCAGGTCATGATTCCAGGGTCCTGGGATCGAGCCCCACATCGAGCCCTGCATTGGGCTCCCTGCTCTGCGGGAAGCCTGCTTCTCTCTCTCCCACTCCCCCTGCTCGTGTTCCTGCTCTCGCTGTCTCTGTCAAATAAATAAATAAAACCTTAAAAAAAAAAAAAGGTATCATTCCTCCATTGAATAGCCTTTAAAAAAATTAAAAGAAAACTTCAGAGCCTTTATCATTGGGGAACTTATTTAAAAAGTGTTACCCCACTACACAAGTGAAATCAGCTTTAATACAGAAAACGAAGGAAAACACAAAAGAACGTGAAATATCTTTTAATATGTTGGGAGTATTTTCTTACATTTCCCCATGTTCCTTTTTGACTTAACATATCCACGTTCCTTTACTATAAACATAAAATATAACTAGCTCGTTAATAGCCTTCTCTTAAAAGTACCATGCTCATTTAGCCATTTTCTTAGCTTGTGCCATTATGGGTCTCTGAAAATTTTAACTGCTGCGATGAACTTGGAGACAACAGATGCGTATATTTTAAGTATTACCTCCTCAATTTTATTCTCCCAAATCAAAAATTCTGAACATTTTCCGGAGTACTGATACTTATTTTTACATTGCTTACCAAAGCTGTTAAACGCAATCTACACCCCCTTTATCAATTCACAGAAATAAATCACACACTTAAAACTATGTCCAGCCGCGTTCACTTTACAAAATCAATAAGGAAGCCCAGGGATCTAGAACCCAGATCTCTAGACTTCCAGTCAATTTCTTCCCCGATTCCCTGCAACTGGCTACTCAGCAGCTAGGCCGACCCGCCTGTCGCACCGGCAGAGCTTCTGCTTCTCTGCCCACTAGAGTCTACCCTGGTCGGCCTCTCGCCCAACTCCCCCGGGATGCCAAGGAACTGGGAGACTCGACAAGCGTAGAAATCACCTGGACCCCACCATTAGCCGACAGAAGCAGCGAGTCGGTCAGCTCCGCCGAGGCCACAGGGTCGCAAACCGGAAGCCGGAAGCGACGAAGTTCGCGGACGCGCCCCGCGTCCGGCCCTCAGCCACTTCGTCCAGCCTGCAGCGACAACGTCCCGCCTCGATACGCATGGCCAGCTTTCAGTCTAGACCCATCGAGCGAGGATGTCGCGCTGAGTGGCTTCTCAGGCTCAGGCCCTGAAAAGCCCAGGAACCGGCCCCAGGTGTCCGTAGCGAATGCCAGACCGGGTGCCTTTTCCATCTCAGCAAATCCTAAGCGGCGGTGGGACCGGCAGCTACTCAGCGCTCCGCTGGCCAGGCCTAACGAGTCGAACGCCGAACTAGAGAGCAGGCGGAGGCCCGTGCGGGGCTGTTGCTCAGCAGGCCCGGTCTGGCTTTGGGCCCCGAGCCTCCCAGCCGGGGACTCTGCGCCTGCGCCCGTCCGGCCGCTGCCCGCTCCCCTGGCGCGGCCGCGGTCCCAGCTGCAGCGCGCCGCCTGGGTGGCTGGGCGGTCCATGGGCAGCAGCGAGGGCCACGATGACAGATTACGGCGAGGAGCAGCGCAACGAGCTGGAGGCTCTGGAGTCCATTTACCCCGACTCCTTCACAGGTGACTTCCGTGGCTGCGGGCCCGGAGTGGCCCGGGGGTGGAGTGGGATGGGCCGAAGCCCTCGGCCTCCGGGGCGAGGATGGAGAAGGGGACAGCGAGGCCGCGTGGGCACCTCGCCCGCTACTCTCTCTTCACCTTCTTCTCCCGACGTGTTCAGGCACTTAGGAATAACTCTACAGCTTTTCCCATTCTCCGCTTCTTCCCTGAAATCTGAAAAGTCCGGGATAGGCTGGCGAGTGTCAGGCCTGGAATTGAGTTGGGTGCACTTTGGTTTCTGTGTAATTTACAGCGACCCGAGGTTTAATGAAAAAACACGAAAACAGATACTCAAGTGGGAGTGATTTTTCTAGAGCTGCAGAGGTGTCGATTTTCACTTTTACTCGAGTAGAAGCGGTTTTGCATACGTTGGTGTTTTAAAGTTTATGGGATTCAGAGGGCTGTTCTCCAAGTTACCCAGAATCAGTTTTGAGAGTCCCTGGGATTTGTCGTTTTTCTTTTTTCTTTTTATATTCTGCGAATGCCCAGTGAATGATGTGGCACAAATTTCAGTTCCACTGCAGATTCACATGTTGTTAGGGAGGGATATTAGACATCATCTGGCCAGGACGCGTCTTGCTACAAGCAAGGTAATGGAGGCGCAGGAAAGGTAAGTGGCTTGCTTTGGGTCTAGCCAGCAAGTTAGCGGCGGAACTGGTACTGTTAGGTCTGGATCCCCTTCCTGTTCCTTCACTTTGCAGACTTGCGGAAATTGGGATCTAGCTCCAGGTGGGATGAAGGGGAGCAGAAGATCACTTAATAGGTTGGGCTAATATAAAATATTATTAAGAAGCTCATTCGGTATGTTTTAAAGGAAGATAATTTTTCTGTGTTAAGCCGTGCTTCAGATGATTTTGAAAGTGCCGCAAGATAACCCTATCAATATGGCTTTTCTCGCATTTACACTCAGTGTTTGAGAAGTGATCAAATAAAGCCAATATGAGTGAGTGGAACCTAGGTTTGTGGGATTTACAGACCCTATCCCTTCCTTTGTTGTTCATCACTGTCAGAATTCAGAATGTAAGATATGTTCAACTCCAATCCCTCTCCCTTTCGTTGTTTAGCTTAGTTTTCTTAGCTCCATTTTTTGACCACTGCTTGCAATGGTAGCAAATTTTGTTCTGCTTTGCCAACAGGCAGATGTCTCTCAGCTTCCCCTGTATAGTTCCAGTCCTGTTCATGTTCTCTCTCACCAGCAGTACAGCTGTGCTGTGAGGATGTTAAGGGGATGAGTGAAGAGGGGTTTGAGAGTGTCATTAACTGGGTGAGTGTGTATGGAGTCTGGCTCCCTTCTCTATCCTTGCTTATATGTCAATGTCTAAATAAAAGAGAATATAGGGTCAGTTTTTGGATATATTCTTAATCGTGATGTTTGGTCATTTCTAGTACATTGGAAATGTAATTGGCACTGTGTAGGTAGAGTTAAGAAAGCATAAGGTGTGCTAGTTTTTTCTATGGACATAAGGTATCCCTCATTAAATACTGTGCATATAAGCATTTTAAAAAGTGATATATTTTTTAGTCCTAAACCAATCTTATGGTTCTTTCAAATTGTACTAAGCTCTGATATAGTTCGGTATGTGAAATTCTTGTCAGATGCAAAAGTTTTTGAGGATTCTGAGCCAGGGTTATAAAACACAGTTTATGAATCTTTGATGCATGCAAGTATTCTGCAGTATCAGCTGAGCCCATCTGTCTCTAATTCCTACCAGCATTCCTATAAACTTTGCAATAAATAAAATAAGATGTCTTGATTTATACTTCTTTAGGGACTTTGCCTCACTCATGATCGTGTCGTTTATGTAACCTCTCAGGGAAAAGGTAGAGGAGTTTGGAATAAAACCCTTCCATGTTTGATCTTTTGAAATTATGAGGATTTGCAAGATTTACTGTTTTACAGCCTTCTTTTGGGTTGATGATTTCATACTTTCCTATTTTCATACCAGGTTTAAGAAGAGAGCTTGCTTGTGTCAGTTTGCCAAGGAACACTGATTGGCAGTTCTCTAATTTCATTTTGAATCACATTTAATACTAGATTTGGTAAATGCTCAATGCTCTTGATGAAGGAAGTAGATACACTTTTTTTTTTTTTTTTTTTAATAGATAGCTTGGTGCTTGACAGAGAAGCCTTTGTTAAGCACATCATGACCCCCTGTGGTTGCTTTAAGAGGCACAATCCAGCTAGCCCATAGTTCTAGCCACATAGACCTAGCCTAACCTCGGAATTGATTGCTTGACTATTTGCAAAGAACTTTTGGTCCACTGTTGAATTTGTTGTGAATTATAACAAATCATAATACAGTTTCTTCTTTTTGCCTGTTCTGTAGCTTGATTGCACATTGATCCAATCCTCCTAACAACTAGTCTTCCAAAATATAAATGGACTCTCCTGATACCACATTCTCCTTCAGTAGTGCTTCACTTGACAAGGCCCTGCTAAGGTAGTAGAATTTGGTTATTTCCATTTCTGTATCAAAATCTCTGACTATGGGGAATTTTGTTGAAACAAATTGGTTGGCTTCGGGCTAACCAAAAGTCAAGTTCCCTTAATTCTGTTTGGTCTTACAAAGAGGGGTACGTAATTCTGTATTTGCTTGTGTCAGTACCTCTAAGTAGCATCCATGAGCATGTAACAGTTCTAATTGCATCTTAGAGATGGGGCAGAAGTCATCTTTTAAAAGCAGTTTTTCTAAGACACTCCCTAAGAACCACAGGGACTTATTTTAATATGGGCTGTCTGGTTCTTTGTGAAAACCTTGATGTCATTCGTGTGTCCCTTTAGTGTACCTTTCAGCTATTACCTCCATTATGTCTGTCCTTAATTCTGTCCAGTTTACCATCATCTGCCTCTCTATCACTTAATAGTTCTCCTGCTTGTCCACTTATTCCTTCCACTATGCCCAACGGCCTTATTCTTCTTCTCAAAAATATTTTGATCCACTTACAGTGGTGGAAATCTGGCATCTTTAGTGAAGGCTAATTTTATCCCAACTCACAGTAATGCATTGGAATGGGATTATTCCTTTATCAGAGTGCTGATGAATCATTTGTCTTTGCTAGTCCAATTAAATAACTTTCCCATCCCTATGTTAGTCTCCTCCAAATTTTGGAATATTCTTTCTTTTTCCTTTCTTTTCCCCTTTCCTTTCCTTTCCTCCCTTTCCCTTTCCCTTTTCCTTTCCTTTCCCCTTTCCTTACTTTCCTTTCCTTGGATTAGGTTCAACTCTGACAGAAAACCCCAAAAAGCAAAAAGGTAAAAGTTTAGGGGCGCCTGGGTGACTCAGTTGGTTAAGCGTTTGACTCTTGGTTTCGGCTCAGGTCATGATCTCAGGGTCGTGGGATCTAGCCCTGCATCAGGCTCTACACTTAGCTCGGAGTCTGCTTGAAATTCCTCCCCCCCATCCCCCACTCATGCTCTCTCTCTCTCTAAATAAAATAAAATAAAATAAAATAAGGTAAAAGTTTATTGCTTTTGCGCATAAGAGATAGTTGTGTAGCTCTAGTCCAAGAATTCCTCAGGTACCCAGGCTGCTTCTTAGTTCCTTGTCACTCCTAAGATGTGGTCTCTACCTCATGATGAAGATGGCAGCATTCCTTTCCAGGCAGGAGGGTAGATATAGGAATTGGGGGCGGTGGGGGGAGAAGCCAAAGACAGCGGTTTCTTAAGTAAATTTCCTGGAAACTGTCAAAGGACTTGTTTGCTTCCATCTCATTAGCTGGAACTTAGTCATTTGGTGAGACCTAACTGGGAGGGAGGATGGGAAATACAGTCTTTATTCTGGGTGGTTAATATGCTCAGTTAAAAGTGGTATAACTAGAAGTTGGGGTGAGTAGATAGTAGGGAATATAAGTAGTGTTCTCCAATATCCTTTGTTGTTGTTGTTGTTCCTGGCTCACATTTTTTTCTCTATAATGGCAGCTTGGTGTAGTGGATATGAGCTCTGTGTCTTTGGGCAACTCATATAACATCCCCAAGCTTCAGTTTCCATGTGTGTTTAGTGAGGAGTAGTACAAAGTATGCAAATACTTTATAACTGTTAAATATAAGATATTCTTTACTAGAAATTTACAGTCTTAGTTGCTGATTCTTCTAATAATATGGCTTCATAATTCCTTGTCTTTACCAATGAACAGTTTTGATTTCCATTTCCTTCAACTGTATGGGGGCATAGCCACACCTTGTAAATGCCATCTTTAGAATTTTGCCTTCTGAAAGTCCTCTTTCTGTCCATAAACTTTGTAGTCCCACAGTTCTTCATTCCAGTTCTTTTGCTGAACATGCCTCTCATCATGACTTCCCGTGGATTAAGAGTTTATCAACTTCTTTCTTGTCTGTCTTGCCTCTATTCTGTATGTTTCCCAAGGTCAGGCAAATCAGTGATGTTCTTGCTAGCATCCCAAGTCCTCATTTACCAAATATTTATTATATACATTGTTAGAATATCAGTCAGTTGGGAAAAGACATCAGATAAGTAATTTACAACATAGTGTGACGATTCTTTCATGGAGGAATGCATAGGATGCAGCCAGAGCACAGGAAAAGGGGAGGGTCTTGGTTGTTTTGGAGAACTGAGGAGTGATGAGGAGCTAACAAGTGAATGAGACTGTGAAGCAGGACTCTCTGAAAGCAAAATGTATTTAAAGGAAAAGTGGCTTGATATGCCTAAAACATAAAGTGAGTACTGAGAGCTGTGAAAAATGAGGCCTGACAAGTGAGCAGAGGCCAGATTACAGAGGGCCTTGTTAGGGATTTTTAGAT